CGTCAGTGCCCTCCGTGACTCCGGTTTAGCGCCGGTTCCCCGTAACACGCGTCAGCCCCTCTCCTTGCAGCTCCTGTGCCCGCTCCCCAGCGCCCGCCCAAGGATTTTGTCACTTCACTGGTGCCGGTGGCTTCTGTGGCCCTGGATGTGTCCCCACAGGATTCACAACCCAGACACTCGCTCCTTCTTTCCCCTTTCCTTCCCACAGACCTCAGGGTTTCCTTTCTCCCCAGTGCCCTGAGGCCCCTCAGGCCTAAAATGTGACAGAACGCAAGAAAACACCTATATTGCAATAAACAAAACAGGCAGGCAGGGGGCCGGTGTGTCTATTTAAAAGCCCTTCACCAAATCTATTATATTTAAACAGGTGGCTGCTATAAAATCAAGTTTAACCTGCTCTGGTTCATGACACGTGTCAGGTGTTAACGTCCCTTATGCTGCTGCATCACAATAAAATACGTCTCTGCCTTCCCCTGTCTTCCCTGAAGGCGATCTTGGTTAATTCCAATTTCTTGGGTTTGGAATGTCTCTTGGGATCTCTCTCAGCTTTTTGCCCTGCCTGCCAACACCGGTGACTGGGGTCAAGAGAGAAAAATAAAAGAGTTTCGATCCAAAGTTAAGTCAATTTTAGTCTTTGCCTTTTTTTTGTAGTTCACGGGGAGCTCTCTAAATGGTGTCGAAGAGTTTTTATATTTGTTGCCAACGTGCAAGGTGAAAATCTTTATAAAAAAATCAGTGACAATCGAAGACAATGGGTGTAATTGCAGGCAGTCCTTAAAACACAAGAGGAAAAAGAGCACTATCTCCACGAATCTGGCGATAATGAGAAATTTACTGCAGGCAAGCAGGAAAAACCTTTCCACGTGTTTGATTTTCTTTTTTTCTTTTTCTTTTCAGGCTGCTTCGGCACCGCTTCCCTGCGTCTGGGGTGAAGGAACGCGGCCGTCAGGGGTGCCCGAGGTGCTCCGCGAGGCGAGGGTCCCTGCGCAGCCTCTCTGCCAGAGCGAGGTATTTCTGTGGCGCCGTCTGCTTTGCCCTACAACGAGAAGCGGGAAATGAAGAGGAAAACCGCAGCGGCACATCGAGTAGGATATTTTACGGGGTGGTTTCAGCGCCCAGTTCCCCGCGGTTGACTGTCCCTCCCGATACCTGCTGAGCCTCAGCGCCAGGATGTGGATGTGGAAGGTGGTTTCGGAGTAACGGGCGAGGAATTCCTCCTCCTCCTCTGCGCTGAGCCGACTCCGGTTTTCCTGAAACCACTGGTCCTTCTTCTGCAGCTCTTCCACTGCCTGTTGGGGGAGCGAGAAGGCAGGGAAATGGAGAGGAGAGGCGCACAAAGGGCGACTCGAGGCCGAGATGAAGGAAACCACAAGCTGAAGCTGGTTTATTTTCACAGGAGGCGGTGAGTTTGAGAGGAGGTCTCGCAGAACAAGCAAACAAGGGGAAGCCACACGCGTGGAACAGCGAAAGCTAAATGTGTTGCCTCAATATAGTCAAGAAGCACCAAATCAGCTCTGGTTAAGACAGGGACTAAATTTCCCCCCGGAGGCATTTTGTTCTTTGATCTCACATGCTAACGAGAGGAAAAAGAATGAAATATTAACACGCGGGCGTGTTTATGGCTCTCTTAAGGCAATCAAAAGAGGTTTGTGTCTTGCCTGCTGCCCCAACGAGGCGTGCATCGCCCTCCTGGGGCGCCCCGCGCACCCCGCAGCGAGGCTGGCGGTACCTTGTCGAAGCGAGCCTGGATGATGTTCGCTCGATCGACGAGACGACGCTTAAGATCCGCCAGGCAGTCATCTCGGACGCGCAGGGCCTTCCCCTTGGTCATCGTCTCCTGGTGGCTGACCCGGGTGAGGAAAGGGGCCAGGTAATCCGGATCCTCTTCTCCCCGGAGCTCGTTCGCCATCGCGTTCTTCTGGAGGGCAAAGGACAGAGAGGAGCACGGTTCCATCTCCCTGCTTCCCCGTCATGAGGTAAAATAACTGCTCAGTCTAAAAAACATTCAGGAGAAGCGTCTGGGAGATCCTGAAAAACCGCACGAAATGATTCGTGAATCTTTTTTGTATTTGTCCCGAACGTTCATTGAAGCATCGATTCCTCAGCAGAGACCCTGGAACAAAATTGGCTTTGCGGGTAACAATAAGAACCAAGAAAACGAATTAATTTGTACCACATGCACACAAAAATAATGCACATTTGCCTAATAAAATGAGCCCTGGCTAGAAAGATACAGTTTGGATGCCGTTACCACATTCCTCCCATAACCCCTTTTATCCTTGTAATTATTTTCAAAATAAAACACTGATCTTTATCGGTGAATTTTTCCAGAAAGTCAGAAGGTCGCAGCACGATCACGTTCTATTTTCGTGGAAGGTCAGTGAAGCTGAGCTGACTTACACCTGCCAAGGATTTGGGCCGGTATGTTTTAACGATACAAAAAGCTCTGCAGAGATAATTCCTCAGACGGGAAAAGATTTCTTTGTCTATCCCTAACAAATATTGGGAATAATGAAGTCTGCCTACCATGGCTTCGTACTCTTGTCTTCTCTTTTCGTTCCTCTCGGTATCATAAATCGAAACGGACAATTTGACAGCGGCTTCTTCATCCTCACGGATCTTCAAAATCTGTAACACCTTCCAAAAGAATCAGAAGACACCATCACAAAGCGGAGCCGACGCTGCGCAGCAGGACTCCAGCACAGCGTCCAGTCGAGATGATCTACACAGACGTGTCCAGGTCCTGCTGACAGAGCAGGCCCACAGGGGCTTATCTTTAGATTGCTGCTCTGCAGGAAATTCTTGAGAGCAATTATTGATTATTAGTGAGGAAAGCTCCTCTGGAGTCTTGCCACTCCTTTTGAAGCCGCCCTGATAGCTCTGGCTTATTTCTTTGTCTTAACAGGATGTACGGCACGAGCAATGAGAGTATTTCGTCTGTCGACATGTCAAGAGTGAGAAATTTGGCAAGGGGGCTCATGAGGTCACAGGGAACTAGCTCCAAATTTCTGGGGAAAAAAAGGAAACGGACTTTGAATTCTTGTTCTTAATTATTACAAGTATTCTGTGCTGATGTAACTGAGCATTGCTTCTCCAGCTCCTTCAGGGGCTCTTCTTCCTCCCAAAAACATTTACAAAAAAAAAATAAATCCAATAGCTTTGCCTCTGTCCACTAGAATGGTTGTATTTATCCTGAAGTTATTACAAAGGCTTCTAAGAACATGGATTCGTTACACCGGTCACGGCGTGATTAGCAGTACAAGAGCTGTATTTCATCAAGTATTTCCCACAAAAAGTCACCTCAGTATTTCAGATGGGACTTCCTAGAAACGCCCAGCTACTAGCTACGACATTTCCAGTGCAAAATCCTCCCTCTTTGATCTCATTGCCAGGCAAAAGGCAGATACGTTTCCAGACACCCCAACTCGTACGCGGGTCGTTCGCTCGCTGAACCTCTCCTGCCGGAGAACGACGAGTAAGAGCAGGAGCTGGGAAGCGTGTGACTGGCCAAAAATACACCACACCTACATCTCGGCCGAGATGCAAGCTCGACACTTCAGCGCGGAGGCCAGCTCTGCGACACCGGTGGTTTATTTTCTCACCGCTTACGCTGCGGGCGCTTTGGCGGTGGCTCAGCTGAAAGCGTTGCGCCGCCTGACAAACCAGGGCCCGGCGTGAACCCCTCCCTCTTACCTCTGCTTCCGAGCGCCGGATTTGTTGCTTCAGCTGCTTGTCATCCTCTCTGAGCTCCTTCAACAACTCGTACAGCCGGAGCAGCTTCTTCTCTTTCTGAGGGGAGCCCGCCTGGAAGCAGATAAGCCAGTGAAAGGCGGCAGCGTTGCGGGGCGCGCGCGAGCAGCTAAGAGACACGGGCATGATTCTGCTCCTCAACACAGCGACATGGGTTTGCATCACCTAAAGCATCTAACCCACAGTCAGCAGTTCATTACACTTGGTTTTGATTTCGAGTCCATCCCTACTGGGAGGCAGATGGCACCGCTCGCCCCTTGCTGCTGTTCCGTGCTCGGAACAGGTTTTTGCAGGGTTAGAGACGAAAGGACGGCACTCCAGCAACCACATCCCGTGTCTTCTCCCCAAGGGGAAAGAGAAACTCAAAAAAACACACGTGCATAACCTTAACAAAAAATTCCCATATTTGCAATCTCTCTTTGATTCGCCTACGTGTGATCGTGCAGCATCGCAGCAGAATTTCCCGGCGAGTCTCGTGCCCCTGGGCATAAACTCGCGTCAGGCGTGTTGGTGGAGTGACCCCGCTGCCTCCACGGGGAGAATGTGGCTTAATGACAGCACTCCACTTTGGTCAGAATATCTTTTGTTTAAGGCTGCCTGTCTATCTATCTACCTATCTATCCATCCATCCATCCATCCCTCTATCTCTCTCTCTCTCTCTCTCTTTCTCTCTACCTGCCTTTCTTTCAATCTTTCTTGGTGTCAGCAGAGTAAACTCTGGGAGATTTAAGCACCGACGGGACCCAAGAAGCCGCGGGCAGCCTTGGAGCTAGAACCCAGGATGCCTGCCGCTGCTTTTCTGCTGCCATCTCTCCTTCGACGGAGAACAGCAGAGGAAACTCCAACTTCCCTGCCGTGATTCTGCAGGACTGAGTCCTGGAAGACCCTGGTGGCTGCCTGATGACCAAGTCTGGGAAGATGACGTCAGGCACAGCTAGAAAAGCCTTTCACACCACACTCTGTCCTGCGTGCCCAGTCCCTTCCAGCACAGCAGCGCATCTCCAGGGGCGTCCCTGTGGTCAGCCTGGAGGCTGTGAGGGAGGCGTGCCCAGGGGGCAGAGGGGCAGAACAGAACAGGTCCTGCTTGTAGCTCCTCCACTGTCATTTCACCTTCCTTTTGTGCCTTGTGATCTACCAAAACTTTCAAATTAAGTAGTTTTCTTCTCCATACCTCGTATATGGTGCACATTTCTGGGGTCAGGATGATTTCTTTGCCTGTCCTACCCCTCTCTGACACTTTGAAGAAGTCCTTCTTTGAGGCAGTGATGTGTCTGTCCTTGAGATGATACGTCAGACGGATCCTGTTCTCTTTGATCAGAAAGATACGTTCTGCGACATCTTCATCAGCCGGCTTTTCTAGGTTTCTGTGGAAACACTCTTTGATTTGCTAATCAGAGGTGAAAAGAAAGAGATGGAAACAGGTTAGACAATGCAGAAAACTGGCAACATTTGCAGAGAGTTGGGTAAAAAGCCAAGGGCTTCTCTGCCTGGACTACAGTGGCACCTCTTGCCCTTGGAAAAAAGGCACAAAGGTGCTAAAAGCAGCACAGAAGTTTCTGATTTGTGCTCTCCCAGCTCAGAGCTACCTTGGGGGTGCATCCCTGCCCGAGGGAAGCGAGGTGTTCTGGAGCACAGCAAAGTTTCCCACGGTCTCCAACCCAGGGAAGGAGAAAGGTGCTGGCCCAAAGGCAGGCCGCTGCGCGGCTCTGTGGGCAGGGGAAGTGTCTAAGCTGCACTGCCAGAGCGGGGATTTCCTCCCTCTTCTCTTCTCCAAACCAGACCCGACTAGGGGAAGAGGTACATGACCTGCTTGTAACCAGTCAGCCATGGGAACGCTTCATCAGGAGCCTCACACGTTGTTAGTTTGGGGTCAGAACATGAAATCCTTTGACTAGTTTGGAGTCTAGTGAAAAATTTCATTCCAAAATGACCATCAAGCTTTTGCTCTTTCCTCTCACACACATTTCCCAAGCCATAGCTTCCTAGTTCCTTTCCAGCCGCTCGACACAGACCGCGACAACTGGTCGCACTGCAGCTCTCGGTCTGTGAGCAACTGTGAGACCCAGCAGCTGAACGAGGCTTAGACGTCCCGTCTGGAGTTTTGCCTCGGCTGTGCCCACTGAAAATGAACTTAAAGCCCTCAGCACTATGTTTTGCACAGTATAAATCTCACAGCAACATATATTTTTCTGTTTCTGCCGTGGCCGTACCAGTATAGGCCGGGAGTTGACGTCAGTGGTGGGGCCAGCCAAGGGTATGTTCTCTCCTCTTCTGCCAAACGCCACGTGCCGGACGTGGAGGAAGTCATCCCGCCCCACGAAGTACTCCGTCATCTCGGTAGCATTTTCAACGCGTTTCTGGAGGCCATCGACTCGCACCTTGTGGTAGAACTCCATCGTACGGTCAGTCTCTGGTTCCAGCGACGTGTAGGTGTGAGCTAAGGGACGTTAAGAGACATCACGGACGTTACCTTTTCTAAGGTAGCACAAGCGTGCCCAGGGGAAGTCTCGTTCTCTTCAAGAAATCCAACCCACTGCTGTGGACAGACACACCAGGGCCCCAGGAGGGCAGGACAGCTCTGCGGGACCACTGCCCTCCTTCCAGCGTAACGCAGCAGCCAGGGGAGCCTGCACCCTGCTCTTCCCAAACCAGGAGTGGGAGCAGCCTCGTGGGGTTCCAGCAACAGATCTGCTGCAGGATCCTTTCCCTCCTGCAGCTGCACAACACCGAGATACCAAACGGAATCCTGAGGAGGAAGTTTCCACCACCTCTACTGATAAAATTAAATTATATCACTCTTTATATGTGGTTGGGATGTATTTTTTTCCCCTGTTATGCTGGGGGGAGCACTGCCCAGGACTGAAAGCCAACAACCCAACTTTCTTTACCGGAGACTGTTATTTATCTAAGCGATTCATCCCACAAGCTTTCCACCTCCCCAACTTCGGGCTTTTGCCACTGCTCAAAGGGATTTACACCAAGTCCCACCAGCTGCAGCGGCCGCCCAGGTGAGCTGGAATACCTTTAAGAGCTAAGAGGTGTCCTGGGCTGAAGTATTCTGTGGTCAGCTGCGTCTGTTTATTCACTTCTCTCGTATCCAACATGTCTTCCCGGTTTTTGAACCACTCCCTCACCTCCACTACTTCGGTACCTGGCAGGAGACAAAATGTTTCACAACCTGACGTCACTCTGTGGCAAGATTCATCGATGAGCTCTGGGGGTTTGTGCTCCTGATACAGCCGCAGCAGATGTCGTATAGTCCTCGGAGTTGGCCCTGGGCTGGGGGCATTTTGTAGATGAATCCTCATCTACGTTTCAGTAGATGAATTATCATAAAATCATCCAGGTTGGAAAAGCCCCCTGGGATCATCAAGTCCTATCCCAGTGTACAGAGCTCACCCCTAAACCATCTCCCCCAGCCCCACATCTCAACGACCTTTAAATGCACCCAGGGATGGGGACCCAACCCCTCCCCGGGCAGCCTGGGCCAAGCTCTGACCACTTTCTGTGAAAAAAGTTTTCCTCATGTCCGGTCTAACCCTGCCCTGTTGCAGTTTGAAGCCGTTCCCTCCTGTTCTGTCGCCAATTACCCGTGAGAAGAGCCCAGCTCCAACCTCTCTACAAGGTCCTTCCATTCCAGGCAGCTGCAGAGCGATGAGGTCTCCCCTCAGCCTCCTCCGCTTCAAACTCAACAGCCCCAGCTCCTTCAGTCGCTCTTCACCAGATTTATTCTCCAGGCCCTTCCCCAGCTCCGTCGCCCTCCTCTGCCCTCGCTCCAGCCCCTCGAGATCTCTCTTGGATGGAGGTGCCCAAAATTGGACACAACACTCAAGGAGCGGCCTCCCCAGTGCCGAGCACAGGGGGACAATCCCCTCCCTGCTCCTGCTGGTCACACCATTGCTGACACAAGCCAGGATGCCGTTGGCCTTCTTGGCCACCTGGGCACACGCTGGCTCATCTTCAGCCGCTTGTCCCTGAGAACCCCCAAGCCCCTTTCTGCCTTAAGAGGGTTTATTCCTCTCCCATCAGCAAGAACTCAAGTAATCTGCTCCAGAGGAGGAGGTGGCACGGCAAAGGGCTATGGTTGGGCAAGGGAAATTCCATCCCAGACGTTTAACAACAGTGTCAGGAGTGAAGGGAAATGAGACAGGGGTGTTACGCTATCCAAGAGGGCTGAGGACAGGCTATGATGCCAGTTAGGCATCTGCACGGTTTCTTGGGCCAGCTGTGGAAGAATAATGCTTTGCAATGCAGAAATATCCACAGCCCGTAGCTGCCCGTTGGCTCCTGTCGACACCAACAGGAACAGCGACACTACCGGATCCAACCAAACCAGCTTTCCATTTCCCTGAAGACTGAAAACCCGACCTGCGACACCAAACAGCCTCACCCCTGGGGTGTGAAATTGGTTCAAACTCTCGCAGGAACTCCCAGCAGCGCAGCGCTGGGAAGTCCTGGGGCTTGACAAGACAGCGAGCGTGACGAAGCATTTGAAGGTGCGGTAGGTAAGTCCCTCACCAGTGTGGAAGGAGGAGGAGAAAGCGCAAAAGAGACTGTGTTGGGAAGGAGATCACCTCCTCCTGCCCACCAGCACAGGCCAGGCTGTGTTTGTGTCGAGTTCACTCATCCCTCTTACAGTCTAAGTCTGTGTAGACGGTGAGGCGCTTCACCAGCCCGTTTGCATTCAGGTACGGTGCCCACTTCTCCAGCCTGGCCTTCCTATACAGGATTGTCTTCCTCCCCTGGGGACAGCGGGTCTCCAACTCTGCAGGGGGCGAGAGAAGCACCAGAAAGATTCACTCCCTTGGACGCAGCCCCAGGAAGAAGAATTCAAGAGGGAGGAAACCCTGGTCTAAGGGAAACCACACATTTATTGCGTCCAGCTGCCAGTGAAAGCTTTTCCACCCCTGCCTGTTGGGCTTTAATGTTATAATAGCACTTATTAATGTTATAATAGTAGATTATAACTCTTTTCTCTCCCAAAGCTGACAGTTGATAATGCAGATAGTTAAGAATGCAGATAGATAATCATACAGATAGTTAATAACGCAAGGGCAGCTCCTTGTGCGTAACGGTAACAGTAAGTTCATCCCAGGCAAACTCGTGCAGCCTGAAGGGAGAACTCTTGAGCGAGATACAAAAATGCCCCAAATCCACTAAAAGGTTAGCTGGGGGGCAAGCAAAAAGCAAAGGGAGAACACGTACCTCTGGGAGATATCTGAATTTGGGCTACCCACGACGGCGGCATGTCAAACTTCACGTCTCTCTCCTCCTCTTGCTGCGGAAACAGAAGGAGGGATTTGCCTTTTGGGCAGCTTCTCTTACTGGGCCAGGAGGCAATGTCGGGTTCTAAGGAACGCGAGCAGAGCTCGCAGCTCTCCTGGGGAACACGGCGGCCGAGCTACGAACGCGTCCCCACGCTCTCACTCATCTCATTTGAAACGATCTCCCGGGTAACGCTCGCGCTGGGCAGGGGGTGAACATGACAATCGTCATTCAGACAAATAAACCAGCTTGTTTTACGGAGACGGGGAAGGGCACTTTGCTCCCCGGTTATGGGTGCAGGCTGAGGAGAGGAGATAACAGGAGGGAACGTGCCGTTACTGGTGTTCCTCCGTCCCGCTGGGCGGGTGCAATCCCTGTTTTATCACACCGTGTTCCCCCCCAGGACAACATAACATTTTTTGTTTGCAGCACACAGCAATTTATCGTAGATTATATAAACTTTTTCAATATTTGGTTGGCAAATCCACCAAGGAGCCAGAAGAGCAGGGCAGAGACCAGCAGAGAAAAAGCATCAGGATAATTTTCAGTGTGGATCTCATTTCTTTTTTAAATTACTTCATCTCAAAGGCCAGCGCCCTGGAGGCCTACAGAGATCCCTCGCCACTTGGGAAAACCAGAAGTACTACTCGGGGTCCAGCTTCAAAACTCAGCAGAACTATTCCAGACTGAAAAGGAATCTAAAGTGCCAACCAAAACCCAGCGATGTGACCTGGAGAGGGCAGCAGGCAGGCAGACACTCACACACTTACGAACACACCAGTTCGACACAACATCCCCACTGCACAAGAGCCACCCTTTGGGTCACTCACCAGCTCCTCCTTGTCCTCATCAGGTAACTCCCTTTCCTCCTCAGCACTTGGGTGCAGCTGAAGAGGGCAGTTTCTCCCCGGGAGCAAAACTTCCCAGCAGACAGCATCGCCCAAGTTGAAGGTGAGATCCTAAGCCACACAGAAGAAACCCACTGAGCTGCAGGGCGGTCTCAAGAGCCCAGCACTGAACCGAACGCTGCTGGAGTACGTCTGCGCTGCTCCCAACCTCGCCGCGGGTCAAGGAGTTACAGGACTCCAGACAGAGCCCGGATCTCAGTGAGGTGGGCTCGTCACACCCTGGGCTGGAGGGACCCTGTGCCTGGAGGGCACCCTCATGGAGCCACAGATGAGGGGAGGTTGCTGGAAGTGCTTCTGCCTCCTTCCTTGGGGCATGTTGTTCTAGCTCAGACCCCCACCTCCCAAACTTTATATCAGCTGCAGAGTAGCTGAGGTGTGGGATGAGCCTAACTGAGCCCCTTCCTGCCCTGAGCCATGCCTGACACACTCAAAGCATCTTCTGCCTTCAGAGCTGTCCAGCCAGCCTTAAAAGCTGATGTTCTAGCACCACAGCGGTTTAATAGGTTTCCTGTCTCAGGGTCTGGGATGTCCTGGAGTAGTTCCAGAGTCCATGCAATCAGGGCAGCAGGACCAGAGCCAACTCAGGGAATGGTTAAGCTGAAACTGGGATCACCACCGATCTTGGGCTTAGCCCATCTGTGCCTCCCAGGCCCAGGGGTGCCGAAGAGCTCGTTACCTTGCAGCCATTCCCACAGTCCTGCATGTTCACCCAGTAGTTCTTGTGGTTCCAGACGCTCTCGATCCCAAGGAATTGCTCGTCCGCGGTGCTGTGGCTGTTTCCCGTGAAGGGGTTGATGAAGAAGGTCTCGGGAACCTCCCTCTTCCCAGGCAGAACCAAAACCCAAGCGTGCACCCGTAAACCATGCAAAGGGTCACGCTTGGGCTTTTCCACTTCCTGTAGCACAGAGCACAGAGCCGTAATTATTGCTATTTTATTGCCACTTTAGTCCAGCCTAATGACAATCCTGTTCTCTGCCCACATTTAAAGATCTCCAAGCCCTTAACACTCTTCAGAAGAGCAAGGCAGTACATACCCAGTACTTATTCCTGTGCCAGCACACTCTGTTTTCCCAGAGGCCAGGTGCTCATGGCCATGGGTTGTGTCATACGGCAAAGTGTGGTGACCTCCTTTCTTTGGTCAGCCACTACCTGGGTCTCAGCTTTCGCTCCTGAAGTTTACAGAGAGGTGGATCTGACTAACTCACCGTGACCTTCTCCTCTTCTCTGTCCTCGTTCTTTTGAGCAGCTTCAGTTTCTGCCGCCTTCTTGGCCTCCTGCTGAAGCTCAAACTTGCTCTGCATGTCTAGTGGGAGCTTAATGCTATAGTTGCTGGGCTTCTTCATCCCCTCGTTTGGTACCTGCTTCCTCAAAAGCAGAGTATTGCTGTGAAACCCAGCAGAGATCAGGAGAAGGGAGAAAATATGTGGCTTATGGGTACTCCCCAGTTCCCAACCCTTGCCAGTTTGCAGTACTTGACCTAGTGGACAGGAATGCAGTGAAGCCAAAGAGGCCTCTTCAGGAACTGTGGAAAAATCACTCAAAAAACTGTGGAAAAATCACTCAAGATCCCTCTGGTGAGGTCCCTGCTTGGGACAGACTAAACCTCAGTGTGGACCTGGAGCTGTTGGCCCTCGCTCAACTCTGGAGCTCGCTAGAAATGAGCAGGCTCTTCCCTGCCCGCTCACGGCTGGTCTCACCTCCTGTGGGTTCCTGAGCAGTGGGCACACCTCCAGGGTCTCGTCCAGGGTGCAGATCTCGCGGGTGGCATACCCGTGCACGCAGTAGGCATCGTACCCGGCCCCGATCAGCATGGAGCACAGCAGCACGCTGAAGTCAAAGCAGTTCCCTCGCTGGTATTTCAGGATGGTGGTTGGAGAATAGAGCGAACTAGGCTTGAAAGGGAGGGAGAGACAAGGGTGTTCACAGCACTTGTGAAGCTGAAACACCAGGCAGACGGCAGGAGTGAGAGAAAGCATCGCCCCTATCCATGGGCTCTGCACCCATAGGGAAGAGCTATATAAGCCAAAGACCTCAAAAATCCCCTCCAAAGTGATCTGAGGGAATTCTGACCTCAAATCTGGCGGCAAATTTAACCTGAGGCAGAAGTGAGCCGGAGGAGCTCATCAAATTGCTGAAAACCTAAAGCTAACCACAACTCTGGAGTGGGGCTTACCTCCATCTCCAGCTGCTCTCTCTGTGGCATTTCAAAGCAAAACACCCATGAACTAAATTATAGTCCAAAGGAGGGAACGTCTTCCCTTCTGGACCATCCCTGGTGAGCAGACAAAGTGATCAATCCACACATACTGCATACAGAGAGGTCTGCTCCCAGATCTTGAACATCACCTTAGGGCACCAAGGCAATCTGCTAAATGGAGATAGATTCTCTGTGGTCACAAATTGCCAGAGTTCCTCTTGAGGCCCTGGGACCGCTGGCACACACCCGGCCAGCACGGAGCTGCTGCAGATTGCTCAGGGCACCCTCCAACGCCTCAGCAGTCCTTGCTAGTGAAGGTTGTGCTCCCTTCGCCTTGGCTGACTCACAGCAGACAAGAACTTGCCTCAGCTCTAGCATCATCCCTCCTTGCCTGCCTAGAAATCTCCCTTCAGCCACTCCAAAATATCCCAAACACTGGGATGGAAATGTGCATGTACTGGGATCAGGGGTCCAAACAGAGACCACAGAGGCTGGGAAAATCAAGGGGGATGATGCAGGAGTCAAAGACCTTTTTAAATCCCAACCACTGGGGTTTCCACCTCATGTCCTGCTGAGAAGCCCTCTTGTCTCCTCCGTTATGGGGCTGTTTCCGACGGGACTGCAGCCCCTTTCTTACCGGTGCAACAGGGGGCCTGAGGGGCTCCATGGTGAGGTAATCGGAGACGAAGCTGGCACAGCCATCCCAGCGGTACAGCTCGGTGTAAGGCAGCAGGGTTGGCCTCACCGTTGTGCTCACAAACTTCTGCAGGGCAACAAACTTCTGGTTAGCCAACAGATGCCTGACAGTGTCCTGTCCCAAAGCCATCCTGAGACCACCCCTGGATGTTGCAGCTCACGTTCAGGACCACCTTAGAGCACAGGAGCAGTGTCAGTAACCCTCCTCGCCTGTTCCAGGAGGGAAATTGCACAGGGTCCAGAGCCCCTAGTTGCTTGTCTGGGGCCAAAACTTCACGCTCATCTCACACTCATTACAGATGTGAGCTGGTTCTTCTTAGTTTTCAGACAAGACACACAGTTACTGCCCTTGCCAGCTACTACATCCTCCAGCACTTTTTGCCTTCTTGTTAATGATACAATAAATGTTGGGGAAAGCTGGCCCAAAGCTGCAATTCTAGATACCTGGGGGAGCACCAGGTCCAGAACTAGACAGCAGCAGGGCCCAGTCCTAAACAAAACCAGGCCACAAACTTCCACGCTTACTTCCTTCCCCGTAACTTCTGCAAAGTTCAGAATGAGACCTAATTCTGTATCCAAATTGTATTTGTGACTCAGCCTGAGCCTTATCTGTTTCGTATGTTCCTTTTACTTTCCTTCAGGTTTCTGCAGTCTTTCCTGTTCCCTAAGCATCCCTGCCCATGACAGGGAGCTTCGATTAAATGATCTCCAAGGTCCCTTCCAGCCCAGGCCATTCTAAGATTCTACGATTCTATGATTCTAAGCATCATGCAGCTGCCTGCACCCTGCGCCTGGTGAAACACGCTTGTGGATTCGGACAGCCAGGGCGTTCCCAGGGTGCTGCGTGCCTGCTGAGGTGCTGTGGGCATAGCAAGCAGGTTCCCATTCCCTCTGGCCAGGAGGGAGGGCCAGAAGGGCTGCTGCCCTCCCCTAGCAAGTGTCCCCTGCGCAGCGGCCCAGCCCCACGCCATCCCATACCTCCACGCCGCACTCGTTGACTGGGGGCAGTAAGAGCGGCTTGCGGTCGGGGCAGAGGTGAGTGTACTGCTGGAGGAAATGGTCAGCGACGCGCAGCAGCTTCTTCTCCTTCGGGGAATTTGTCTTGTACGAAGACGGTAACTGGGATGTGTCAATGGAGCTCCAGTCAAAATCACTTCCAGGGCGGGAGGAGGCAGGGAGAGACACAGGCAATAAGCTGAGAGCAATTTGGGCAAGACGACCTGCCAGCAAAATATGGCAAGGGCTCCCTGTTTCCCAGGGAAAAAAATGGGGATCGTATCCAAGGGCACGATTTTGACATAACCTGTGGGTGCTGACAAGCTGACATACACCCCGAGGCTCTGGCGATCTTTCTAAAGTGTCAGGATACAGCCACGAATGAAAATACAATGAAGTGAGTTGTCTTGTCTTGCTTACGTGTGCCTACCCTTGGACAAACACGCCAGGCACACAAAACTCGCTCACTCCCCTCCCTGCGCAAGGAGGGCACCCCCTGTGCAAGGGTGGCACCACACATGCCACCCACATAGAATCACAGAATCACAAAACTGTTTCAGCTGGAAGAGACCTTGAAGATCATCAGTCCAGCCTTTGTCCCAGCCCTATCAACTGGGTGAACGATGCCCCCCAATGCAACATCCACCCATCTCTTCAGCACCTCCAGGGATGTGACTCAGCCCCCTCCCGGGACCCTTGTGGACCCCAAAGGGACCATCTCTGCTCAGCCCAGGACCGACAGACACACGAGACTTACAGAACATCGCTTGGGACACAGACTTTCTCCACAGACACCTTGGTCTCCACATCCTGGAGGTTGTCACTGATCTCCAAAGCCTTCAGCGCCTCTTCTTCTCTCTGCTCCTCTTCCTCCTTCTCCTCCAGAACATCCATTCTGCCACCTTTTGGGCACTACAGAGATGCACATACCAGGCTGAATTCAGGGGTGGGACTCAGATACACAGCAACACAAAAACACATTCTGGGCACAGTGAGCATGTGAGACAGTCAGAAGCACGATAGTAAAGGGTGAGAACTAAATCTGAGTTCGGGCAGGGCTCAGTAAGTGGCTGCGTGTTCCTGGGTGTGCTGAGCGTGATGGAGATGGCACAATGGGGGGAGCCAGCCCCCCATTGTGCCCGTTTGGTCTCACGGAATCATAGAATCACAGAACGCTGGGGGTTGGAAGGGAGCTCTAGAGCTCACCCGGTGCCACCCCCTGCCCGAGCAGGGTCGCCCAGGGCAGCCCCACAGGAACGCGTCCAGGCGGGTTGGAAAGTCTCCAGAGCAGGAGACTCCACACCCTCTCTGGGCAGCCTGGGCCAGGGCTCCGGCACCCGCACAGCCAACAAGTTTCTCCTCAGGTTGAGCTGGAACTTCCCATGTTCTACCTTACACCCATTATTCCTTGTTCTGTTGCTGGGCACCACTGAGCAGAGATTGTCCCCTTCCCCTTGACCCCCACCCCTCAGATATTTCTCCACGTTCATAAATCCCCTCTCAGCCGTCTCCTTTCCAGGCTGAACAGCCCCAGGTCTCTCCGTCTCTCTTCCCAGCAGAGATGTTCAGTCCCTTGATCCCCCTCGTAGCTCTCCCTTGGACTCTCTCCAGTAGGTCCCTGTCTCTCTGGAACTGGGGAGCCCCAAACTGGACACTATTCCAGGTGCGGTCTCACCAGGGCAGAGCAGAGGGGCAGGAGAACCTCCCTGGCCCTGCTGGGCGCAGTGTGTCCCCCCTTTCCCGTGTAAATGCTGAATCCTCCATGCTGCCAGCTCGAAAGCAGCTCTGGAAACTCAGAGGGCACCTGCTGACGGCCAGTGCCAGGGGACCCTGAAGGGAAGGGAAGGGAACATCTCGCAGCAGAGTCAGCAGCCTCCAAGGGCCGGTCCTATCGTTTATTTACATCTGGCGGAGGTCGGGGGCTGCTTTGCTTCCCCTTCCTTACGGTCAGGTTGACCCTGTTGAGGCGCAGACACACCGAGAAGGAGCCGCAGACCTTGCCCCGGCGCTCCCG